AAAAAAAAAGCCATAAAACAAATACACTACGAACCTTATCACGGCTGATTGCGTCTCGAATAATTTTCTCGGCCAATCGGCGATCATTGCGCGTCTTCGCATGGAAACGTGCCAGTTTCAGTGCATAGAATGTGGCAAGTCGACGCGGAGTGTGCGAATCATGGATCAGCCGTTCAAAACGTGAAATCACCGACGTATAATCCGTGGCTTCTCTGTAAACATAAGTCATAAATAATTCAAAATTTATGCACAGCGCTTGCAAGAAATGAAGCGGAACAACCACTAACCTGGCGCCGGAATGTTTGATGGCCAGACGACGCTCGATGCCAATTCGACGTAGTGCAATAACCGCATAACCGGGATGACGATGCTCAAAACTCGACAAGATTGCATTCGCCTTCTCATAATCACCTGTGAATAAGGGAAAATCTCAACAAGTTCAGTAATCAAGACAAAAAAAAAACTCCCAAAGCTCTACAATTTGCTCAACGTACCAATTCCAAAGAGGATATGGCACATCCTGGCCTGCTTTTCCCGAAACCGAGATATTCGCAGTTCCAAGCGCCTGGATAATGCATGTGTATTAAAGCAAGCGCTTACTCTGGAACGTCGGATATCCGATCCGATTACCATTCAGCTCCCAATTCAAACAATCTGAGAGCTGGCCAACAAAAATGCGGCCAGACATGAGATATGAAACACTTCGCCTCTTTTCTTTAACAATACTTTGCCCCCAAACCTTGGTCGCACTCTTTCTCGCCATCATTGCAAGTGGCGAAATTTTTGAAATTTTTTTCCGAAACTTCCATCATTCTCTCTATTGTGCGTTTTAGATCAACGCACTTTACATAAAGAATTCAAGTGAATGTTAGGTCATAAAAGTGACCACTGTGCAGCTACCATTCAAGTACCGCTCCCAGCGGAGCTTACGCGTTTTTGCTACGTGAACGGCCCAGCTCGATATCACAGTAAATGTACTCTTGAAAACCTCGTTCACGCCAAAACAAATCGCAGTTTTGTTTACTGGCAGTGTACTACACAACCTGTTCAAGTACACCATTTGTCGTTACACAGATCGTTGAGTTAGTGCTAATTTCAC